CCGCTGTGCAGATCCGTGCACTGGGTGCTGAGCATGCTCTTGGGTGTGTCCTCAGCTCATGTTGCAGCTGAGGGGGCAGGTCCGTGCCTCTGTGAATTGTTGCAGGTAGATCGTGTGCACTGCGGTGTGGTGGCCTTGGGCTTGCAGACTCGGGAATGGTGGGGTACAGGGCACCAAAGTGTTTCCCAGCCCCACGCCCTCGTTCCTCCTGCCTGCAGATCACACCCTCATGTGCAAGATGGAAGATGCCAAGCAAAGGGCAGAGGAGCAGGGACCGTAAGAGGCATCCTTTGGGAGAAGAGGTGGCACGCACAAGCAGGGCCTCCAGCCAGGGGCAGGTCATCAGCCCCTCCATGGTGGAAACAGCCACAGCTGCAGCTTCCAGAGCTGCCCTAGAAACACGGAAAAGGCAGTGCATGGCTTTGGCCATGTGCCCAGCGGCCTTCTAAGGCAGCTCAGCCTTGCATGGCCTGGCTTCCCGTGGAGGGAGTGAGGATCGGGGCTGCTGTGCCTTATAATTGCCTCAAGTGCCAAGGGGCCCCACTGGCCAGTGGCTTTGCCTTCCTGGGTCTCCCTGCTGCATACTGGCCCAGTGTCCCCTGTAGGGACCACAGGGACAGACACAGGCTAGAAACAGCACCCGCATGCTCTGTGCTGTGGGGAGGCTTTCCAGCCTCCTGGTGGCCTGTGGCTCCTCTGTACCAGTCCAGTGTCCTGGTCTTGCGGAGGCCCTGGAGGCACAGGGTGAGGCCAGCCTGGTCCAGTGTGGCGGGCTGGAGCCTTTACCTTATATGACAGCAGCCTGGATGCCGGGCCTGGGCTCTGCTCCTGCTTTGCCCGCCCAGCTTGAGCTCTTGAGCTTGGGGAGGCCTTGCCAGGTGGGGCCGGGCTGCTGCTTAGGGAGGAAGAGCCTCAGCCAGCTGTGGCTGGCCTCGCGCTTGCCTTGCACACGGGGTGGTGGCTGGGGGACTCCCTGGTTTTTTCCCTGCAGAGCGCGTGCTCCATCTGGGAAATGAGGGGCAGTGGGCCCTGCTGTGGCCTGCATCTGGCATCCTGCGTCTCAGTGGCAACCGAGCCTGTAGGGAAGGGGAGGCCAGGGCCAGAAGCAAGGGGGCTCATAAAAAAAATAAAAATAAAAAAGAGGGAATGGGTGGTCCTCCCACGGTTGCCCCCTTGGCAAGGGGGTTGCGTTCTCAGATGTGGGCACTCTGCGTCCACTCACCCCACTGCTGTTTGGTGCTTTTCTTCTTTCTGGCCTGCAGCCTGGCTGACCCACCCAGTCCACCCCTTCCCTCTGGATCCAGGGCCTGCAGTGCAGCCCTCCATCTCCTCCCTCCCCTCCCCATGGCCTCGCCTGCTGGGTGGGGGATTAATGAAGGCCAGATGCAGCTCCTCTGTGCCGTGGTGGCGGCAGCAGCAGCAGCAGCATCCAGAGCCGTTTACCTCCCACTGTGTTCCCAGTCCAGCTGCTGCGCTCCCGGGAACAGCTGGAAAGCAGGTCGTGGCTGACAGCGAGCAGAGTGGGCTGGGCTGGTGTATAATTTGGGGAACAGCAAGGGCTGCAACCCCCAGGGCTGTGAGGTTGGGGCATGGCGGAGAGGAGCTGGCTGAAGGGCTGCTACTTCCCACCCCACGTTCTGCACAGGGCAGGGCCCACGGGGCACAGAAAGGGGTCAAGGCTAAGGGAGGCAGAATCAGGTTCCCACTCCTCTTTACTATGGGTCTTCCTGGTCAAGAAGGGAGGGAAGCCAGGCGTGGTGGTGCCTGCTTGTAGTTCAAGCACTGGGGAGGCTGAGGCAGGACGCTCATTGTTAGTTTGAGGCCAGCCTGGGCTACATAGTGAGACCCTGTCTCTTAAAAAAATAAAATAAAGAGGGAGGGAATGGTTGGTCCTCCCATGGTTGCCAGATGCAGTGCAAATACCACATGGGGCAAACATGCCCAAAAATTATCCTTTGTGTATCTGAAACTCACATGTAGCGAAGCATCCCGTTTTGGTTTGCTAAGTCCGGCAGGCCTATCTTCCCTTCCAGCTGAGTTTCTTTTTTATGTGATGGTTTTATTGCACTCCTCCAGTGTACAAACAGAACAAAGCACGGGCCGTTTGACGCGTATGACTCAGTGGGCTTTTACAGTCAAGCTCACAGGAAGCCAGCACCCAGAGGGAGAGGTGAGGGAGCTGCCCCGGCTGGGCCGTTCCCCAGCCTCCTACCCTCCAACTGCTGTTTTCTGTTTTGTTTTTTTGTTTTTTGTTTTTTGACACAGGGTCTCTCTTTGTATTCTTTGTTTCTTTGTTTTTCCTTTTGTCTTTTTGAGACAGGGTCTCCTATGCAGTTCAGGCTGGCCTTGAGCTTACTTTGTATTCCAGGCTGGTCTCGAATTTGCAATGATCCTAGTGCCTCAGCCTTCTGAGTGCTGGGATTACAGGCATGTGCCAGAGTCTCTCTTTGTAGCCCAGGCTGGCCTCAAACTCACTGCAGTCATCCTGACTCAGCCTCCCAAGAGCTGGGATAAGGCATGTGCCACACGCTCAGCACCTCCTCTGTACCTGTGTGCCTGGGAGTCGAGCTGTGGCCCTGTGTGAGCCCGTGTGCATCCTCAGTAGGTCCCGCCCAGTGCTTCCCCAGATGGATGTGCCCGGCTGCGCTGCACACCTCAGCCCATGCCCACTCCACCACAGGCACCCCTCGTCTCCGGGAGCTCTTCCAGGGACTGCCTGCTGCTGTGTCGTTCCAACCATTAGCAGCCTCCTGCAATCAGGGTGCAAACCCTGACTTAGGGTCTCTGGTCCCAACTGTCTAGCTTCTGGAGACTTAGAGGGGCCCCATCCCAGGTACCTCGACTGGGATGGCAATAACCATGGGAAGTTGCCGGGCAGGCTTCAGGTGCTCCTGCTTCCTGGTCCTTCCCCAGGGAGACATTCTGTACCCTGTAAGTGGCAGCTGCCTGGCTCTTTTTTGTTGTTATTGTTGTTAAATGTATTTAGTACAGGGTCTATAGGGTCTCACTACACAGATCAGACTCAGTGATTCTCCTGTTTTCAGCCTCCCAAATGCTGGGATTACAGGTGTGCCACCACACCCAGTCTCAATCACCATCTCAACGCACCCCGGGGGTGGGGCTGGCATGGCACACCAGGGATCGAACACGGTCCCTGCATCTGCCTAAGCAGGTGCTTTAATCCCCTGAGCTATCTGGCCTCTTCTGCATGGCTCTTCCATCCCTTGCAGTGTGGGTACCATCCTGGTGGCATCTGCGGGCTTCTCCAGCCATCCTGTGACCCAGGCAACTTCTGTCAAAAAACCTGGTCCCTGAGTCGTGCAGATTCCCACTGAGTTTCTGCTGCAGGCTGTCCTGGTGGTGGCTTACTGGGAGCCAAAGCTAGTGGCCACGTCAGTGTCCCAGCCTGAGAGGCAGGAGGGGCCCAACATGAGGAGAGCCCAGAATTCCATCCTCACACCTGTAATTGAAAGTCCCTGGCAGCCAACAACCTCTGCCAATGGGGGTTGAGGAACATTCCAAGACATGGAAAGTTGTGACCTCCTGTTGAGGTGGCAGGCAGGGGACACAAGATCATGTGGCCTTGGGCATTCCGGTGCGCCCTCAGGCCCTGTTGCCACTCACATGCCCTCCCTGTGCTTAAGAAGTTGTAAAAACCAGTGTAACAAACGTTAGTGTTGAAAACCTGGCCAGGACCTGAACCTGTTGTGGACATCTATAATCCCAGCACTCAGGAGGCTGAGGCAGGAAAATTACTGAGTTCAAGACCAGCCTGAACAACATATTAAGACCCTGTCTCAGAAAACAAAAACAAAACAAGGAAGCCTGGCCTTCGCTCCTGAAGAGACATTAGCCAGAGTCCTGGGTGATGTAGTTCTGCCTGGCACTAGGAGCCCATCTCCGACTGCCAGAGCAGGAGGGACTGTCCGGAGAGCGCTCTGACTCACTTGTCCTCTCTTTGCCTGGCCTCCCACTTGCTCCTCCCAGGCTGTCATTGGGAGTCGCCTCCTGCTAGGGGAGTAGCACAGCTGGGCCGAAGGTCCAGCTCAATCCGAAGGTGCCTCTCAGGGTATCCCAGGATCAGGCTTTCTGGAAGAAAGTTTCCTGGATCCTGGGTAAAAAAAAAAAAACCACTGAAGTTTGGCCTGGAGGTCGGTCACCCATGTGAAGCTGGTGAGTCAGTGCAGGGAGCAGGACATCACCAAGGAGGAAATGTGTTTCTCTTCTGAGTCACTTTCTTTTCTGCAGTGCCAGGGATGGAGCCCAGAGCCTTATGCAGGCACGCGCATAACACAAGCATTCCACCACTGAGCCACGCTTGTCTTGGTGTGTACCCAGATGCAGATGCAGAGAAACAGGAATATGGTGAACTGCTGGTCGGTGGGTTGCTTAGGGGTTTTTTTGTTGTTTTTGTTTTTGTTTTTCTAGGCAGGGTCTCATTATACAGTTCAGGCTGGACTTGAACTCACTATGTAATCCAGGCTGGCCCCCAATGTATGTCGAGCCCCCTGCCTCAGCCTCTGGAATGTTGGGACTACAGGTTCATGCCACCATACCCAACTCTTCACACTGAGATGCATTACTAACTCCTTTTCAGAGTATGTGTTTAGAGGCCGGGGAAATAGCTCAGTAGAATAAGTGTTTGTCCGGCAAGTGCAAGGGCCTGAGTTCAATCCCGTTCTGCAAAAAAAAAAAAAGAGTGTGTGTGTGTGTGTATAGATTTTATGTTTTAAATTTTAGGTAGGTCTCACAAAGTTGCCCAGGTGAGAATCATTTTCAGGCCTCCCACCTCAGACTCCCAGCGTGTGGGGACTGCAGGCACATGCCACCACCAGGCTGGCTGTGAACCACTTTTGAGTAGTGTTTGCCTGTTTATCTCACAGATCCACGTGGGTGTGGACAGGGGAGCCCTCCATCTGTGGAGTGCCATATGCCCACCATAACTTGCATCAGCACCCAAATTGCTGCCCCCTCAGGTCCTTTCACTCCTTCTCTCCCAGGCAGCTTCGAAGCCAGCTCAGCCTTGCAGTCATTGCCCGGATGTTGGGCCAGGAAGAGGCACTCCCTCTCTGGAAAGAGAAGAGCCAGGTGAGTTGGCCTCAGGCAGCAGGCGGCCTGTGCACAGCCACCCTGTCCCCCAGACCTGCCACCCCTAGGCTTGGCCAGAGCTTGGGCGCCTCAGCCTAAGAGTGCTGAGCTGGGCTTGAATTTTCTCCTCCAGTGCTTTCATCCCACAGTTACTGGGGCCGGGATATGGGTCGGGGTCCCGTGCCTGCCTCATGTGCAGTTTCCACCCTCAGCACCATCAGGAAGTGGTGGTATGCACCTGGCTTCCTGGGAAGCTGAGGTAAGAGAATCACCTGAGCCCAGGGGTTTAAGGCCTGCCTGGGCAATGTAGGAAGAGCTGTCTCTTAAAAAATAAAAATTCCTCTTTGCCTGTCTGCTGTGTGCTTGGGACCAAGCAATGAGCTGGGAGCCTGGCTCCCTTGCTTATGAATCACGGTAAAACAAACTGGGCGTGTGGTCCATACCTGTAATCCCAGCACTCAGGAAGCCGAGGCAGGAGGCTGACCGGCCCACCCCGCAGAGCAAATTCAAGGCTGGCCTGAACTGCATAGTAAGATCTATCTCAAAACCCAAAACAGTAGATTAAGGTACAATATGTAACTTGGGCCATTTCGCCTTTTTTCGCCGCCTCGTCCGTTGGAAGCGTCCGTACTTCAGCAGTCGTTCCTGTGTTCACCTTGAAGCCAACCCCACTGTCCATCAGAGGACCTTCTCATCTTCCCTGCCCCTCCTAAACACTGACTTCCATCCCTGCATGCCCCAGCCCTGGTTAGGCCATTCTTATGGATGGAAGGATAATAAAGTTGGGAACAGATACTATTTGGGGCAGGGAGGTTAAGACAGGGCCTCACTATGTAGCCTCGGCTGGCCTGGAACTCACAGAGATCCTCCTGCCTCAGCCTCCCCAGTACAGGGATCACAAGTATGTACTGCTGTGCCTGGGTTTGAAACACGTGCTATTAAATGGCAATGCCTCCCTGCTGGTGTCCCCAGGAGTAGCAGGGGCTCAGTTCTGCTTCCCCCATTCCTCTGCCTGCTCAGGAGCTCTGATGTGGGTCCCAGATCACTGTCTGGGAGCCCTGGAGCAGGTGGCAGGGCGGGTGGTCCTGCCTCCTCCACGAGTCCACAAGCCACAGCACCCTGCATGTCTGCCTGTCCATACTGTGGGACTTGTGACCTCATCTCAATGTCTCCTGCCTATTTGTGCCCCAGAGCAGAGATAGCCTGAGGACAGAGGGCCCAGGAGTACTCTTCCACCACTGTGTGCAGTAACCAGCGCAGGGCCTGTACTCACCAGGAAGTGCAGGCCTTGGGGGGCCAACAGACATGAGGCGGGCACTCAAAGTACGAGAGGAGGAGTGGGGCTGAGGTCACTGCCCAGAAGTGTTGAGGGACTGAGGGTGCCACGTGGGCAGGGTAGGAGCAGCCAAGGTACAGCCTGGGTGCACCCTGGTGGGATGGGCTCTGCTTGGCCAGAGGGGCTCCTGGGCCGCACAGAGAGCACAGCAGAGGTAGAGGTGGGAGGGCCAGGGCAGAGTGGCCAGAAAGCTGGGGCCACCTCACGGCCTAGGCTTCACTTCAGGGCTTTGTAGAGGAGGAGCTGGAGTGGACTGAGAGGGTGCGCCAGGCAGCATGAGGGGTGGGGTTAGGGCCAGGCCTCCGTGCCCACCTGCCCACATGCACATCTGCCCCCCTACCCGCACGCACAGCGCCAGCTGCCCCCGGGGCCTCTGGGAAGCTGCATGTGCCAGGCTCCATCTCAGGCCCGGGCGCCGCCAAGCTCTGGGAGATGGCACCAGACGACCTCGGCGGGAGGTGAGCAAGCGGCTGCGGCCTTGTGACTCACGCTCCAAGCACAGCGGGCCGTGCACAGAGGTGCATCGCACCAGCAGCTGCCAGGCGGGCAGGGCCGGCGGGGACCTGTCCTGGCCCTGCTTGCTTCTCTGCTGCAAGCCCCAGCCATTCTGCGGTGCCTGCCCTCTCTGCTGCCCGCTCCGACTGCTGGGCACTGCCCTTCCCAGTCTGGCCTGTTGGGCAACGTCCCAGCATGTGGGCTTCAAAGGCCTCCAGCCACCCTCGTGGGCCCCACACCCATCTCCAGCTTCCCGCCATGCCCCCGCCCCCGCACGTGGCTTCTGGGCCCACCTGTTCACCCCACTCGGCACAGCAGCAGCTGCTGCACTCTGTGTGGTCCCTTGCAGCCGCCAGAGCTGTGGCAACTGTCACTCTCACTGATGCATTATTTATTTTTTGTTTAGATTTTTTTAGACAAAATAATTCTGTGTAGTCCAGGCTAGCCTTAAACTCGCTATGTACCCCAAGCTGGCCTAGAAGTCTCAGTGCTCCTCCTGCCTCAGCCTCCTGATGGCACTGGCAGGACGGATGTGCGCCACCACGCCCAGCTGACATTCATGTTTTATAGGTGGAGAAACGAAGGCAGCCCAGCCTCCCAGGGCCACACAGCAGGGAAGCAACAGAGCTGAGTTTAAAGTCCTGCCCTGGACCGCAGCAGGGAGCTGCTGTGGGCTCCACACCTGTGCCCACCTCTTGATGGCCCCCTGTGGGCTCTGTGGCCTGCACAGAGCTTCCTGCTGGGTCTCGGAGAGACAGAGGGCCCCACTTTCCTCCCACATGTGCTGGCTGTGGGCAGGAGCTGCAGGGTGGAGAAGGATCTGCAGAAGCAGCCACCGGGGCTGAGGAGGGAAAGGCTGAGAACTCTGGGGTCTGAGGGCCTCCTGAAAGGGTCCATGCAGCACCCCAAACGCTTGCCTTTCCTGGACAGTCCCATAGTCCAACCAGAAATTCCTCTGTTCTGCTGGGTACCAGGGCTATTCCTAGAACTGCTGCTTTGTGGCCTCAGGCCTCAGCAGGCTCCAGATGCGGCTCAGGGCAGGGAGGACAGCTAGAGCCAGACAGGCGCTCGGGGCCCAGGCGCGGGAAGACACACCAAGAAAGCCCAACAATGCTGATAAGTGCTCTGGAGGAATATAAAATCAGCTAAAGGGAGAGCAAGCACAGGCAGGCGCTGCTGTGTACAGACGGGAATAGAGCACTGAGCTGCTGAGCACAGACCTAAAGGAGGCAGGCCGTTTGCTGGGAAACAGTGCTCCGGGCGGTGGGCACAGCGAGGGCAAAGGCCGGGTCAGGCAGCACCTCTTGGGCTGGAGGGGAACCAAGAGGAGGGTGTGGCTGGGGAGGAGGTCAGACAGGTGAGGGAGCTGCTGGAAGGGCTTTGGGGAGAGCAGGAGCGGGATCTACTCTGTAAAATTTTCCAAAATTGCATTGCACGGAGCCTAGACTGCCAGGTAAGGAGGACGGTATCTCTCTCTTCCTCACACTTATCATGGATGGATTCAGCCAGTGTCGATGGCACCCAGGACTGACAGCCAGAGGCAGGGTACCTCTCAGGTGAGGTGGAAGTGCTGAGTAGCCAGGCCCAGCAGGTCCAGGGTAGAGCCAGGGACCCAGAGGCTGGAGGCTGGAGAGGAAAGTGGGGGAGTCTGATTTTTTTTTTTTTTTTTTTTTGGCAGAACCAGGGATTGAACTCAGGCCCTTGCGCTTGCCAGGCAATCGCTTATTCTACTGAGCCATCTCCCCGGCCCAGGCCACTGGCAATCCAAGTGGGGCTTTCTCAAGCCCTGCCCTGCAGTGTGATGAGCAGGGATCCTCAAAAGGCAGAAAATGGGGAAAAAAGTCCCCATCAACTAGAATAAGGTTAGCCTCGGTCCTGCCCTGCTATTGGTTCATGCATTTACCTAACAAATGGGCTTTACTTAAAAAGCCCATGCCAAGTGCCAGGCAGTATGCCAGGCCCTGCCAGCTTCCACAATAGCCAGGAAGGAGAGTAGATAAGAAATAAAAAGTTGGGGCTGGTGAGATGGCTCAGTGGTCTAAAGCACCTACTTAAAACAAGCTTAGCAAAGCACAGGTACCGCGGTTCAATCCCCCAGCACCACATGCCAGCCAGCCCCGCCCACACACACACACACACACACACACACACACATAAATAAATAAAATTTAAAAAAGAAATAAAAAGTTGCAGGGCGTGCTGGCCCATGCCTATAATCCCAGCACACAGGAGGCTGAGACAGGAAGATCACCCTGAGTCACAAGCCAGCCTGGACCACACAGTGAGACCCCCTCGCAAGAACAGAAAAATGGAATAGGGCAGCTCTGCAGGTCTGCAGTCAGGGCCCAGGCTCTAGTCTGCAGCCAGGTCACTGGGGCCACTTGGGGCCCTGCAGATGCTTACAAGCATGGCTGCCTCCCTGTGCAGTCAGGAGCCACCACCGCATGGTGAGCTTAGTAGCCTCTCGCCTCATGGACTGCCGCCTCAGTGGAACCCAGTGGAGGCCCTCCTTAGGTGGGCGTTAGCTTCTCCCCCACCCCCACACAAGTCTGCCCTGCCAAGCTGGGGTTGCTGAGGTGGCCCCCAGCCACCCAGGGCAGGGTAGGGAGAGGAGGGTGCTGATCTGGCCCAGGTCACTGGGACCCATGGGTCCCATACAAGCCTGGATCCTGCAGAACAATTTGTTTGGAGGAGGCCAGCGAGCTGGAAACCTAAAGGAAATTAGCAATCAGGTCGCAGGCAGGCGGGCAACTTGCTGAGCTGTTTTCACAGGTCGAGAGGGAAAACACAGGCATGAGCGAGCAGGCCGCTGTCCTGCGCTCTGCCGCCTCCTGCCCCGCCCAGGGCTCCGGAGCAGGGAAGGTCCAGAGGGGAGCGGCAGGGTGTGGGCCAGGCCGCCAGTGCTTGCACAGCTGTGTGTGGGGCAGGCCGTGCAGTCTTGCAAACGTTTCCCAGACAGAGCCTGCGCAAGACCTGCAGCCCCGAGGCAGCGTCTCCTGGCCCCAAGCACAGCACTGCTCCTGCGCCTTCTGAAGTTGTCACACACCAGAAAAGGAAGCCTCCCCACACACACACACACACCAGGAAAGGAAGCCTCCCCCCATACACACACACCAGTCAAGGCGAGCCTGACTCCAGCCTAGCTGCTCCTGTGGCTGCCAAAGCCACTGCAGGCCAAGCCACTGCAGGCCGAGGTGGCGAGCAGGTGGCTCAGGGTGAGTCACCTGCGGAGGCCAGGTGTGCAGCAGGTCTGGGCCCAAGAAGGGAGCGGGGTGGGGGCTCCAGCCTTCTCCTGTGGCCACACTGCACCTGCTAGATTTAAGCAGGGGGTGCCCCTGGGTGCCACCCTGCCTTTGGCCTTACGACCCTGCACCTCCTTATCCCTGGGCTGCAGAGAGCCTACAGCAGCCAGGCCCTGGGCCTGCCTGCTTCTGCCCAGCCGTATAACAGCAAGCACAGCAGCTCCGCCAAGAGAGGATCTGCTGCAGCCACGGGGTGCAGGGGGTACATTCCCTCCCTGAGATGCCCAAGCCTGTTGGAAGGGTGGGCAGTTTCTTCAGACACTAAATTGGGCTGGGTATGATGGTACACGCCTATCATGCCAGCCCTGTGGAAGGCTGAGGCAGGAAGATTTGCGATTTAGCAAGACCCTGTCTCAATAAATAAATACAACGTGAATACATACATAAAATAATGAAAGTGGGAAGGCTTGGGGTTGCAGCGCATGGACAGGAGAGCCTGCTGCGCATGCGGGAAGCCTTAGTTCAGCCCTTACACCACAGAAAGCCTCGCCTAAATGGGAGTGGAGCACAGAGCAGGTCACATGCCCCATGTTCCAACTGTGTGGGGGAGCCTTGCGGGGACCCCATCCCAACAGAGGGGCTGGGTGAGGATATATTTGAGACAGCCAGAGAAAACCATGCCCAGCTGTGAGAGTCATGAGTTCTGAAAAATTTTGTGGAGCAAAAAAATGGCACTGCAATTACAGCAGGGCAAACGCTCCTCTTCTGTTACACAGCTGACTGGCAAAAAGAGCCAGTGCTTGAATTTGCTGAAGCCAGGCATGGTGGCACATACTTACAATCCCAGCATTAGGGAGGCTGAGGCAGGAGGATTGATAGGCGTTCTAGGCCAGCCTGGGCTACACAGATCTATCTAAAAATAGCAACGACAATGGAAAAAAAAAACCCAGGCTGAGGCAGGGAAGGGTGTGATGAAGACAGAGGAGCAGTGCTGACCGGGGGTGTTGCCCTGGTGTAGACGGCTGGGCCCTCGGACACAGTCTCTCCTTGTCCGTATGTTTTGCATGCAACAGTGGCAAGTTCAGTGAGCAGAGGAGGACGCTGCAAGTGGGATCGAGAGGAGGAGGAGGAGCGGCTCAGGTGGAAGGGTCTGCTCGGGGGCAGAGGCCTTCCTCTGCCTGCTGTCCTTCAGGAAGTGGATTAATGCTTAGGCCTGAGAAGGTTTTTCTTATTTCATTTTATTTTGTTTTGCTTTTTTGAGACAGGTTCTCACTAAGTAGTTCAGCTTCCTGGAATTCACAGGAGCCCTCCTACCTCAGCCTCCCAAATGCTAATATTATGTGTTAGCATCGTGTGCCACCAGGACAGACTAAGGTCTTTTTAGTTCACCTTGTTAAGGACTTTCCCACTGCCAAGCACTCTGTGTGTGTGTGTGTGTGTGTGTGTGTGTGTGTGTGTGAGAGAGAGAGAGAGAGAGACAGAGACTCTGGGAGACACTCTTCTCTTGGGAAACTGTGTGGCCCATCCTACGCTATGAAATACTCAGGGTCTGAGGCCTGCAGCAACCCTGAGACAGGTGGATTCGCACCCTGGAAGCTGGTGCTCTGTGTCCCCAGACACCTGCACGCTTGTGCAGCTGCCGTCTCGTGACTGACAGCCTTCCTTCTCTCCCCAGCTGTCCTTGCTCAGCCGACTCCTGGGTCTCATGAAACCATCAGCCCTTAGGCAGCACCTGGGCTTCCAGACCTCGGTGCCCTGCCAGGAGCAGCAGCTCAAGGCCCGTGCTGAGCTGGACCACAAGGTGAGCCCTGCGCCTGTGGGCCTGCCCGCCTGGCCACTCACGAACACAGGTAGCTCAGGGAGGGCAGGGCAGGGTGCAGCGCACGGCCCTGGGCCTGTAGACGCCAGTCCTCCAGAACCGGCCGTGCTGGGACAGCCCAGCGGGCGACTGTGTTGGGAGGAGGTGCTCATCATCTCCCCAAAGCCTCTAATTAGGCCTTGCCCTCGGAGCAGAGCGCACAGCCGCTGGGAAGGCCGTGTGCGCAGGTGTGCGGGCAGTGGGGGCGCCTGGGGTCCTTGGCACGCTCGGTTAGTGGAGAGGCGCCCTGAGGGCCTTACAGTACAGCTTGGGGTAGGCTGAAATGCTGGCCTTGGGCAGGGTGGAGTGTGTTTAAGGCGGGTGAGGGGCCAGGCATGGTGGTACATGCCTTTGATCACAGCTCTCAGGAGGCTGAGGCAGGAGGATTGCAGCATGTTCAAGGCCAGTGAGTTCAAGGCCAGCCTGAACTACATATGGAGATCTTACCTCAAAAAAACAAAAAGAAGGGGCTGGGGAGATAGCTCAGTTGAGTAAACACTTGCCTGGCAAGCCCAAGGACCTGAGTTCAATCCCCGGTTCTGCAAAAAAAAAAATAAATAAAAGGAATGACCTCGTTGTGGCAAGTGTCCTCCTTTTCCTTTTTGTGGGCCACGTGTGGGCCTGACCTCCCTGTCTGCATCTAGTGACTGCTAAAGGCGCAGCTCTTCTCCCCACCCCCACCCTGCTTCCTAATTGACTTTCTAGACCTTGCCCAGCTTCTATTCAAGCCAAGCTCTGGCAGGAATCAGGGCAGTGAGGTAGACCAGGACCAGAACAGGGGGGTCTCTGGGATGAATGGTGGTTTCGGGGGGCTTCAGAGCAGGGACTGAGGGCCCAGTTCTCTGGGACAGAGGGGCTTCCCTGAGCCAGAGATGAGAATAGAGGGAGATAGGCATCTAAATTCCAAAAGCCAGCTTGCAGGTTGGATTTGGTGATCCAGAAGTCCAGCCTTTGGGCACCGCTCTGGAAATCAGATAAAGGAACTAATTACTTAATGAACACAGAAGACCCATTAAGACTCTGCCATCACCCCCAGGTGCACACGCACCAGGCCGGCTATCTTTCCGCTGGGCTAATATTAGTGCATTTACGAGGCCCGGCCTCCCAGGAGAGTGTGAGCCGGCTATGCCCCTCTCTGCCCTCCTGTGCCAAGTAGTTTTTGCCGGGGAGCAGGAGGCTTCAGAGGCTGCTGATGGGAGGGACTGCAGGCCTTGGAGGAGGAAGTTCCAGGCAGATCCAGCTCAGAGGAGCGCTGGGGCCAGGGGCTAAGCTGCAGAGAAGCCTGTGAGATGCGCCCCCCACCACACCAGCTGCTGTGTTGGGAACAACCTGCGGTGGCCGGAAGCTCTGAGGGGCCAGTGTGTCTTTGCAGAGCAACCAAAAGCCAAAGCCAAGCCACCTGGGGGCTGGGCAGGAGGGCAGCCTGAGACCCCAGCTCCCATCTGGCAGGTGGAGCAGAGGTACAGCAAGGGCTGGATGGGGCTGGCGAGCTGTGAGTAGGCCCCTCCACCTTGGCCAGCCGGCTGACTCCTCATTAGGCCCCAGCACGTTTCATCTTCAAAGACGCTGGGCTACTCAGCAGCCGAAGGAGCCGAGGCGTCAGGGTCTGTTTTATAGGGAGCGGTGGTCTGGCTGGGCCGAGCCTTTCATCCCTGGAGCTCAAGTCTTTTTTTTATTTTTCTTGTTTTGTTTTGTTTTCTGCTTCTTGAGCACCTTGGGGAAACTGAGGCCAGAGCCAGCTGAGCCTGAAGTGACCCAGTGTGAAGAAAACAGCTGTTTTCCCAGCCCCAGTGGCTGCCATGCTGCGTGCCTGCCCATCCCCCGGCTGGCTCCCTCCTGTCTGGGAGATTTCCTGCCCCAAACTGCGGGTCACAGCTCTGCTCCAGCCCCCACGCATAAACACCCTGCCCTGCCTGGTCTTCTCCCTGTCTCAATCTCCCCACCTATTCTCTCTGCTGCAGGCATTGGCCCAACCTCCTCTCTCCCCTAGAAAGAGGTCCAAGGCTCTCAGGGTGGCTCTGCATGTGTCCCTTGTCCGGCTGTCACTTGTCGACAGCCTCAGCTTTGCATGCTATCTTTTTGGATTTTTTTGGTACCGGAAATCTAACTCAGGTCTTCGAGCTCACCAGGCAGGCTCTGTGCCACTGAGCTATACCCCTAGCCCTACATTCTGCTGTTGTCGGATGGATGGATGGATATGGATGAATGGATGGGTGGACGAATGGGTGAGTAGATAGGTAAATTGAATTGTCCTTTTTCCTCTCTCTCTACTTTCTTCAGTCCATTCTGGCCATCAGTCCTCCTGCTCCCATTCTGAAAACTAGCCTTCTGCTGCAACCCCTGCTCTTGTAAGGTCTTTGTGTCATTAAGACCACGAGAGTGTCTGGTGCAGGCTCCTCTAGAGCCTTGGATAGAAGCGTCACCTGTGTGGCAGGGGAACCAATCACAGGGCATTGTTGGTAATTATAAGTTAGGAAGTTCCTGCCTGGGAAAGCTAACCACCAAGTCCTTGAACAAAAGAGGCAACTGCGCTGGTTCAGGCTCCATGTGGGGGCGGGGAGCAGCAGCGGCAGGGCTGCAGGGGGGCAGGGACAGGTGGGGGCAGGCAGGGTCCTCCCCAGGCCAGCTGTCTCTGGCTGGGTCAAAGTCACTGAGCAGAGCACTGCAGAGCTTGTATGGAAGATAAGATGACTGCAGGGAATCCTGCTTCCTAGGAAGCAGAGTAGAACACTTGTAGCATTTTAAAGTGCTGAGCCAGCGGGGTGCATGCGCTGGCACGCCCTGGAGTCCCAGCCAAGGAGGGAGGCTGAGGCTGGAGTTGGAAGCCAGCTCAAAACGAAGGACAGAGGAGAGGAAGGCAGGGAGGGTGGGAGCCAGGGAGGACAGGCAGAGCACCTAGGTGGTTGATGATGGCCCAACACTTGCCTGGCCTGAGCTTTCCCACTGGGCTCATGCAGAGAACATAAACATTTGGATGGGAGGAGGTCTGGGCCCCTAGTGCTTCCCGTGAGTCCAGGGCATCTTCTGTAAGAGCCAGTGCCTTTCCTGGCCTGTGTTTGTATCACTTTCCCCTTGGCCTCCTGCATGAGACAGTTATATAATTTAACTCCAAAAATATTTTAATTTTTTTGGCAGTACTGGGCATTGAACCTGGAGCCTTTCACTGGGCTATAGCTCCAGTGTTTTCATTAGTTTACTTGTTTGTTTTGAGATATGGTCTCCCTACATAGTCCAGGCTGATCTGAACTCTCTAGCCCAGGCTGGTGGCAATGATCCTCCTGCCCCAGGCTCTTGAGTTACAGGGATTTCAGACGTGCACTGCTGTGCCTGGCTAACTTGACTCATCCTGCCTCTGTGTCCGCTGGCGCCCAGCGCAGCCCCTCAGCCCAGAAGGAGTGTTTCCTGGGTCCTGGCTTGCTGTCACAGAGCAGCATAAGCTGCGTATGGCCGTGGGCTGGTCTTGCTGTCTGTCCCACCTTAGTCCTGGCCACTCCTTACAATGCGATGATTGACGTTTCAGTCGCATGAAGCCTGCTGTCTCAGGTCTTGTGTCTATTGCCATGCTTACCTGTTGAGTTTTGCTTTGTCTGGGTGCCTGTTGCATGTGTGTGTATATACATGTGCACGTGTATTTTGTGCTAGTGCATGTGTACACAAACATGTGTATAAAATGTAGTTTTTTATTTTTATTTTTTCGGTGTGGAGGATCAAAGCTCAGTCTGCTGCTGCGCTGTACCACCAGCCTGTGTGTTTAGGGTTTTGTTTTGTTTTTTTTCCGGAACTGGGGATTTGAACTCAGGCCCTTGCACTTGCCAGGGAAGCGTTTATTCCACCGCGCCATCTCCCCGGCCCCTAGCCTGTGTGTTTGACCAATGGGAATGTCTCGTTGTCTTTTCTCCCGTGATGTCCCCCCTGGACACCAGGTGGGTTTCTCAGAGGGTCCCCATCTGTGACCATCAAGCCTGGGCTGCACACAGGAGTCACTGGGGCTTCCTCCGGGTGCACCCCTCATAAGGTCCCAGCTCTGTGCCCGAGGCCTGAGGACACCTGTTTATGGAGAAGCGTATTTGTGAAGAGGTGCTCTTACGGGTGCACACTCCCGGGCACGGGCGACGCCAGCCAAGGCCCGCCTGGCCGCACAGACGGCATGCGCCGCAGCGGAGGGTGTGGCCGTGTGTGTCTGTGTGTGAATGCCTGCTGCACGTCTCCTGTAAACCTTGTATGCACTGTGTCAAGGGAGTTGACGAACAAGTTTTGCTGCTTTTGCTCAGCTGCTGGCATTGCAGCCATTGGTCCTGTGCCCTCAGGGTGACCCAGCCAAGAGCTGTCTGGCAGGGGGCTCTAGGGAGTAAGTTGCTGCCCCTGGGTTACACTCCCCACCCAGCAAGGGGACCTGTGTGTGCCTCCCACCCCTGCCCACTTGGCTGGATCACAGGCCACTTGCCCTGTCACTCCAGAGCAGGGGCAGCTAGAGCTCCCTCGGCCCGGAGGTGCCTGTCGTTTCCCTCCTAGCCCTCACGTGGCACCACGGGGCCAGCCCTGCCCTTTGGGGCTGGAGACCTGGGTCAGGCTGAGGTTAGGAGCCCTGGGAGGAGAATGCCCAGTTTGGGGAACAGAAAATAGACATTCAGGATTGCTGACTTCCTGCCCTGCTGCTCCGTGTCGCCGCTGTCTTACTTCCTCCTCCAAGATCAGGAGCATGTGGATGTCTCTGACACAAACCTCAGAAGCCCGCATCCAGCTATACTGGGCCGGAACCAAGCTTCAGTGCACGCGTGTGAGCAGGGCTGGAGCGATGGGGCCACCCGAGGGCAGGCTGATGCGCTGGAGCAGCTTTCGCTCAGGTGCCAGCCTTCTGCCTCCCTCAGCCAGGCCCGGTCCTCTAAGAGCCCGTTGGAGTCTCTGTGCCTGGCAAATCACTCATCAGCTTTCTTTTCCTTGAG